AACTTTAAACAGTCACTTTTAATGCAATCTTTCCTGAGAAGTTTCATTAGACGGGAGGGTGTCCAGGCAGAGTATGGTACCAGTGACTGTACTAAAGCTTAAATTGGATGTGCAGATGACTGATGCATTGCTGCTATTGTAATTTACTATTAAATAAAAAACTGAGTCCTGAGCTGAATTCTGCTATAAGATACACTGGACTTATTTTGAATTTTACAGGAGTGATTTATTGGGGTTGCTACCTCATGTCTGTAAAATCTCTTTAACAGGCCTATACATTTTGCAGAGTGTGGGCGATTGTAAACTACATGTTTTGGTTTAATACAGAGAAAATGTTTTGTTTTTACCAGGTATCTTCATTACATTGAAATGGGCCCAAGTACAATTGCTTGGTAACTGCAAGGAAACTGATGATGGTTTACAACCACTTTCTTAAGGGCTGATTTTGTTTATACTGTGGGGAAGAAAAAAGATATGTGCACTTCTTTGAGAATGACTTCCATTGAACCAACTAATTCCTGCAAACGTAATAATGCTTTGGACTCTCATTCTGAATGCACATATACACTTGTGTAATTTTACTCACCTGAGTCATCACATTGATATCAAAGGGGCTACTCAGGCAAGTAAAGTTAGGCAGGTACATACTCAGAGCATCAGGGCTTTCATGCTCAATAAGGAGAGAAATTTTCAAAGGGTCACTCTTGGAAACAGCCTTCATCATGGGCATGTGATTAGGGTGCTCAGACAAAATGGGATATTTTCAAAGCTAGATGTTCCGCTCCCCATTTCAAGATGTCACCACCTCCTCCCACCTCTAAGATAATTGCATACACTGCAATTATCCTTGCATGTGAGATCTAGGCCAGTTCCACATGGAACAAGCACTCCTTGTTTAGGGTGTGAAGAAAAGCTCCTTAATTAGAATAGGGATGAAGATGGGGAAATGCATCCTACCATTGCAGGCTGTCAGACTTGATAGATCATTGGCCTGATTATCATCATTGTATATCCCTGTTGCTTTACAGGGATAAAGGAAGCATCTGAGGAAAGTTCAGGGCAAAGACAATGTGAGTACATAGAAAGTTGCTTTACAGGGATAAAGGAAGCGTTTAAGGAAAGTTCAGGGCAAAGACAATGTGAGTACATAGTGGTATAGGATGCTAACAGACACAGTTAAGGGTCACATGGATTTCTTTAAAACTTCTCATAGACCCCGGGCTTCTAAGGTACCTTGAAGCAGGGAGAAACATACTGGATGTTGTCAAGTTAGAAGGTGAACTTATAGCAGGAAGCAAAAAAGATGTCAGGAACTAAGAGGAAAATAATACTGAAACTGTCTCCAGACTAGCAACATTAGACTACACAAAGGGGGGCTTGGAAACAAGAGGTGAGAGGTCAGGGAGCTTCAGGTTGGTAAGAACCTTGAGGGCAACTGTGAGGAGCTTGACTTTAATCTGGGAGACAATTGGGAAGGAATTTTAGGTGTGGAACTGATGTGGATTTAGCAAAGCCTATCTGCCTTCATAAAAATATAGGACAATGGAGTGGTAGATGGGCATGTGGTTACCACATAAAGATTAATTTAACACCAGAAATCATGTTTGTCAAATACAGCAATACTTGATAGTTTCTTTTTAAATTATGACGTTTAGCAAACAGGGAGTGAAAATATCGTTGTATTGAAACACAGGGCTGCCCCCACTCTCATCCCAACAGTTAAGCTAAATTTCAGAGTAGGAGCCTGGTGATGACGTTCATAAATAAAATATCAGTGGAAATGAGGTACATGACAGAGATCTTTCCTGAAGAGAAGTAGAATTGTATCCTCAAAAGAAATGAAAGATAAAGGTGAACACAAGCAATGGATCTTTTTTTTTTTTTTTTTTTTTTTGCTATGGATAAAAACTCTTCCAGTGCCTGGGGTTGTTTAGACTCACAGTTTGGTTTTGGCCCCATCTCTAGTTTTTCACTATTGAAATTCATTCTGAATGAAACAGAGCTTTCTCATTTTTATATTACAAGATGGATTCCCTATTATATCGGTGACAATATTTGCATGAATGATGTAGCAATGAATATGGAACACAGAATGCATGCTCAATATAATTGACGGTGCTGCCACTGCATGCAAGACCATCTTGCATTGTGGCACTGCATTTATATGAATCTTTGAGTCCAATATTTGTTTTAATTGTTTTACCTTTGTTAAGCCTCACTGACTGGGTATTAAATATTTATTTTTAGACCCAGAAATATATTAAAAAATACATAAATCCCAATTAGGATATAAAGAGAAATAGCTGTATAGAAACAATCCTAATAGACTGGATTTGTATCTGTTTGTAGACAGAAATTACCAATATAGGCCCTGATTCTGTATTGTATTTGCTAGCACTGATTCCCAATCCCACACAGAGTCCCACTGGCCTGCACTGAAGAAAACAGATGTGTAAAGTTATTTGCTTCTGTACTCTGTTGTTGCTTTGGGGACACAGTCTGTGATTTCTCCAGGTACGGAAGAAAACTGAAGATTTATATTTTATATTTTCCCTTTCAAACTAATTGTGTCCTGATGTTATCAGGACCATCTTCTCAAGATAAATAGATTTACTGGTTTGTTTCACAGAAGAAACCCATTATAACAATTAAATTATTGCCATTCTGTGCAACATGTTTAAATGATTCCTTGAATAGATTGATTTGAAATGAGAATTTGACCGCTGTGTCTACATGATCCAATTTACAAGACTCTTGAAATTATATCATAGATAATCTTATTTTTCAAGTTCATCATCTTAAACAGCACACTTTTGCCTGAAATTTGATTGCCACAAGTGATGCCTAGGACTGCTATAACTTAATGATATTGAGGAAAAGTTCTCTTGGTGTGTGTGTTTGCAGGTGTATGCATACACATTTGACTGCTCTTTATGCATAGTTAGTTTCACTGTATCAATTCACTGTATTCACTAGAACAGTCAAGGGCCCAATTCAAATTCCACCGAAGTCAGTGTAAAGTGAAGTGTCATTCTTCCATTGCTTTCATTGGAGTTGGACTGAGACTTTAGTTAGATGGGTTTCCCTGTTTACATGGGAATTTTATATGGCAATGAAGGGGAGGAAAACATGAAAAATACAAGAAAAGGTCATTGTAAAACCACAAACATTACCAATGCAATGAGCACAGGAAATAGTATAGTAACAAACTATTTTATAGTTCAGTGAAACAATTAGAAAAGAATAGATTTCAAGTTGTCAGTGTCCCTTTAATCTAATGTGCCTGATAGTTAATGTGACGAACCCCAGCCAATTACAGATATGAGTTATAATAATGGTTTTTTTTTCTTTTTTTTCAGTTGTTCGAGTTCATGAATTTCTTGGCCGAGAATGTTATCTTCTGTTACATGGGACTTGCACTATTCACATTCCAAAATCATATATTCAATGCTCTCTTTATATTTGGGGCATTTGTATCCTTTAATTTAAGTATCTGAATGGCTGTTTGGGATGAAAAAAATTAAAATCAAGTAAACAATTTAAAAAAAATTTAAATGCATTCTTTTTAGGGATCAAATTGAAGAAAAGGGCAGGCAATAAGCTTTATTTTAATATATACATTTAGGTAATGGGCCTAAGGAGATGCTTTGTTGGCATGCACAGTAACATTTTGTTGACTTGTTGCAATGTGCAAAGCTGTGGGCAAAACTGTCATTTCTTATATTCTTTTTACATACATGGAACTACCCTTGATGTTGATGTCATACAGGCTGTTTTGCCCTCAATTTTTTCATGTTTCCTCAGTGCCAGGTACCAGTCTGGAACACCACAGAGTGACTCTCCCCCTCCTCCCTCCAAACAAGAGCCCTTTGCTTGTCACTTTTTGATGAATTGCAGTAGCTTCACAATCAGGGACTTTACTGCTTGCTTGCTCCGTTGCATTCACTTTTATATGTTACTTCCAAATTGATGTTAGATCCAAATTATGGTGCTTCTAGTGCAGGTTATTTTAGAGGGCAGAAAGGACTTAAGGAGCCAGGTACCCCCAAAACTACCTAGAGGCAAGTGTAACATGATTGCCCCTAACCTAAGCAATGGAGGACTGCTAGAGCTGACAGCAGCACAGGGACCATGATCCATGATTCCCTCTTGCTGTGGGCCAGCAAGCTGGTACAAGGCCATGCTAGATTGAAGTACATGGGCTATGTGATCTATTCGTGTCGTAATTGCTGTTGATGGGTGTGCTCTCTCGAGGGCACTGTGCTTGCTCCTGGACTCTGCAAGTATAACACTTCCAGAAAATCAGGTGTGCCACTGCATGACTCAGACTCTTACTGCAATAACTGAGCCCTAGGATTCAAGAGGGGAGGGTGGGACAGAACCTCCTTATAGCAGGGCTTCCATATAGAATTAGTTATGACTTGTCCTTCTAAAACAGTGTTTCTCAACCAGTGGTAGGAGTACCCTTAGGGGTACTCGAGAAAAGTCTGTGGGGTATGTCATCACAACTGACATTTGGAGAAAATTGAATTTTTGTATTAATTTTTCCAATGCTTTATTATTTTTGTACTATTTACACCCAAAAATTTCATTGCCAGCCCCAGCTACAATTAAGTTGTTTAAACAAATGTGTTGCAATGGTAGAAAAAAAATTGTTTGTGTCTGAAAACTGTAGGTCCTGGGGGTACTTCTAATATTTTTTTAAAGGGGTACTTCTAAAAAAGTTTTTAAACTGGTACTTGATACAAAAAAAAGATTGAGAAACACTGTTTTAAAATATCCATTAAAGACATTTTTGGAATTAGATACCCAGGGGAATAATAGGAAAACTCTTTTCTATAGTCAACAAGAAAAAAAAAGGGAAAGGCATGATGAGAAAGGTATGCACTACAGGAATTGGGAGGAAATAAAAAGGTCATCATGTTCAAAAGTATATCTATGCGATGGTGAGCATTTTACCAAAGAGCCGAAGATGTAGTCATATATTCTGAGTCAATGCCAAGTGAGTGAAGAGATGTATAGGATAATGAGTTCAAAACTAAGATGTCTGAAGAGAGCCAAACTCTTCCACTGCCTGGGTTCATAATGATACTAACAAGATTGTGGCTGGATATGTAAAATTATAAATAATTAATTATTCTCAACAGAAATTTAATATTGTGTTTATTCTAATTTGATGTTCAAGATATTAAGTTGAAAAAAATGTGTTACCTGTTTCCACTTTCACTCCCTCTTTTCCTCAGCATCTCACATTTAACAATATAGGTGGCAATTTTCATAGCAAGAGCATGCAACATATACCCACTTTCTTTCATTCTGAATTTGGGTCGAAAACAAAAGATTCCCTGGAACTTTCAACACATGATGATGTTTTCAGGTAAGTGCCCTTACACTTTGTGTCTACATTTTTTAACACCTGACAGAGACGTTATTATTATTTTCTAGCAAGGGGCCAAAAGATCTAAATATGGTGAGGTCAATGGACAGACTTTGGATAGTTCCACGATCATGTAGGTGCTTGTTTGTAAATGTACATTGAAGCACTGGAGTCATGCTGCCAAAAGCGACGGAAGTGCTGTCAGGAAACAACCAAACTATGGAGCTGTTGTCAGTATGCTATAGTTTAGCCCAACCTCTAAGGATGCATCTATACTGCACCCATAGTTCGAAATATGCTAAACAATTTGAGCTATGCAAATTGCCAGGGCTCGACAAATTATACAATCTACTCACCCGTGGCAAGTAGATTGTAACCCAGAAGAGCCGGGTTCCAGTGATCTGTGCATGCGCAGAACAATCTGCACACATGCAGATCGCCGGACAGCACGGCTGGCGAGCAAGGCTCGCCACGGTTCGGCAAGCCCTGCAAATTGCATAACTTATTTCGAGTCAATTCTGAAATAACTTATTTTGTAATTTGGCACTGTCTGCACAGCACTTATTTTGAAATAACCCGCTAATCTGAAACGTCCCTTACTCCTCGTGAAATGAAGTTTACAGGGACATTGGAATAGCGAACCTGTTATATTTTGAAATAACAGACTTGCTGATAAGACGCAGGATAACTATTTCGGGATACCAGAGGTGCAGCAGTGTAAACGTAGCCCAGGTGTCTATGAGGAATTTCTCAGCAAAGGGTTCCTTCCAGAGTGTCTTCCGCTGAGCTTTCTCACAAGAAGAGGGTGATGCAGTCCATTGAATGTTTGAGTTGTGAGAAATAAAACCACTTGGAAGGAAGCTGAGAGAGAACTTTCTTGCAATAAACACTGTGTATTAAATGGTGTAATTCTGACTGTCTGTTAAGTATTGAGCCTCTTCCTACAAAAGATTTGTGTCCTAGCAAAAGTTTTGCCAACAGGAGTGCTAGTGCAGACATGGCCTTAATCATTTGAATTGCTGAAGCATTCTCTAAATGGAAGTTACATGTAAAGATTTGTTTATTGAGTGCAAACAATACACACAGCTGTGAACGCTTTCACCAAGTATAGAACAAACGACAACTCACTGCAACTCTGACTGGCTCCTAACTGCTAGAGAAAAGAACCTTTCATTCCTCAGGCAGGGAAGCCCTCCATGCTAATTGGACTTCTGGAGAAGCAGACCCAAGAAGCTAGCATACTGGAATAAAATATAAAAAGCTGTTGTCCTTAACTAGACAAGAGCTTTTCTTTTAGCTCAAGAATTGCAGCTATTGCAGGAGATGGGATTTTTAGTCTCATCGCTGATTTATCCCTAGGACAGAAACATGTTATGAGCAAGGTTCAACCAGAGTTTCAGAAGCAGTACTGAGCACACTTTGCTCCTGCCTACTCTTGGAGTTATACCACCATCTGCATCAAAGGTTGACCCTGGGCTTTTCAAAAATGCTCAGAATTCGCCTAATTGCTCTCCCTGATGTCAATGAGGGACTTACATTTGGGCTACAGATTCTCACAGGGCCCCATGAATGTGCTGCACCCATCTCATGGACCCAGTCATAGACTGTCCTACTCAGGTTCCCATTATGCTAAGCATCTTACCCTTCATATTCAGATCAGAGGCTTGACCTTCCTGCATCCTATCTAAGCTCCTTGATCAGAGGTTCTCTATTTACCACTGGGAGCAGGCACTTCTTTGAGACTCACCAGAGGATACCAGAGGTGCAGCAGTGTAAACGTAGCCCAGGTGTCTATGAGGAATTTCTCGGCAAAGGGTTCCTTCCAGAGTGTCTTCCGCTGAGCTTTCTCACAAGAAGAGGGTGATGCAGTCCATTGAATGTTTGAGTTGTGAGAAATAAAACCACTTGGAAGGAAGCTGAGAGAGAACTTTCTTGCAATAAACACTGTGTATTAAATGGTGTAATTCTGACTGTCTGTTAAGTATTGAGCCTCTTCCTACAAAAGATTTGTGTCCTAGCAAAAGTTTTGCCAACAGGAGTGCTAGTGCAGACATGGCCTTAATCATTTGAATTGCTGAAGCATTCTCTAAATGGAAGTTACATGTAAAGATTTGTTTATTGAGTGCAAACAATACACACAGCTGTGAACGCTTTCACCAAGTATAGAACAAACGACAACTCACTGCAACTCTGACTGGCTCCTAACTGCTAGAGAAAAGAACCTTTCATTCCTCAGGCAGGGAAGCCCTCCATGCTAATTGGACTTCTGGAGAAGCAGACCCAAGAAGCTAGCATACTGGAATAAAATATAAAAAGCTGTTGTCCTTAACTAGACAAGAGCTTTTCTTTTAGCTCAAGAATTGCAGCTATTGCAGGAGATGGGATTTTTAGTCTCATCGCTGATTTATCCCTAGGACAGAAACATGTTATGAGCAAGGTTCAACCAGAGTTTCAGAAGCAGTACTGAGCACACTTTGCTCCTGCCTACTCTTGGAGTTATACCACCATCTGCATCAAAGGTTGACCCTGGGCTTTTCAAAAATGCTCAGAATTCGCCTAATTGCTCTCCCTGATGTCAATGAGGGACTTACATTTGGGCTACAGATTCTCACAGGGCCCCATGAATGTGCTGCACCCATCTCATGGACCCAGTCATAGACTGTCCTACTCAGGTTCCCATTATGCTAAGCATCTTACCCTTCATATTCAGATCAGAGGCTTGACCTTCCTGCATCCTATCTAAGCTCCTTGATCAGAGGTTCTCTATTTACCACTGGGAGCAGGCACTTCTTTGAGACTCACCAGAGGATTAGCTCTTGACTAACTTCCTCTTACTGTTTTTATCCTTTGCATGCTTCTCTCCCTCTCGCATTCTCTCTGATTCTCTGGACTTGGTTGCTTCTTCATGGCTTGGCCCTCTGGCCAGGTCACTATAGATTTCCCCTTCTGGAGTATCAAAGTTTCTCCATACAGACTATCTTAGCCAGTCTTCTAGTTCACTGCTAAGACTGTTACTTTCCCAATGGCAGGAGGAATATGAGCCTGCCCATTACTCTAGATTCCAGTTCAGAGACCCTTGATTCCATGGCCAGATCTGCATTGTCCCTCACCCTGCTACTTCCCTGAGCTGTTTCCTAGTCTACCACTTCTCTGGGTAGGCACTTCCCTAAGGGCCAGGATCACAGAACATTTACTTTCCCTCCGGGTTTTCTCTTTTTCCCTCTCTAAGCCCAGAGAATAACTACAGGCTCCTTCTGCCCTCATTGAAAGGCCTTATGGGAGCCATGCCTGCTTCTGTTCATTGAGGCTCCATCCTCAATCAGGGATTGTCTATCAAGCCTAATTCTCCTTCGGGTGAACACCCATCACACGCCCATAACATTCTCCATACACAGACCAGAAATAACAACTTTTCCCTATCCATTGTTGCATTAGCAAGCAAATGCCCTATTCTACCCTATCTTCCCTTAGTATAGGTACAATAAATCCCACTGTACTGTATCTTCTTTGTTCACTTTTCTACTGTGAGTCAGAAACCTTACTTTCCTCCTTCCTTCCACCCTCTACTCCAGTAGGAGCTCATTCTTCAATCCCTCCATTCCTTCCTCCCCCTCACAGCTCCTGCAG